AGATACAACTGAACAACAACAAGGAGACATATTTCACTTTCTAAGCTAGATTGGGAGCTACTTGAGGGTAGGCCAGTAGCTAGCTTAGGTTTTACATTTAGTAAATGCTTGCTAAATTGAGGAAATTTTTTTTTTTTTTACTGTTCAGGTTCAAATTAGAAACATGTCTCAAATCCTCTATTTAAAGATATCAGTTTGAAGAGATGAGTACTGGACCTCTGATTTCATTGGTACTGAGAACTCAGGGTTGAGGAAACTCCCTTTGCCAATGTAGGTTGGAACCATTACTGAAAGTTAGAGAGTTGCCTTGCTCAGAGCCACAGAGGTGGGATTTGAACCAGTGGTTCTGAGGCTCAGATTGATTAATGACCACACGAGTGACTACACTGTCAGTGACCAGGTACGGATTTCTGACTGCAAATCCAGTACTCTTTCTTCTGTTCTACTCTGCCCCACATAAAGAAAATGTGTCCTTATTTGGCTTCCTGCACAGGAATCTTACAACATTTCCACAAATCCGTGCTGGTAGTACTGAATTCTGCCGTAATTTGGAACACTAATTTATTACATGTTCCAGAGTCTGAACAAATTAAAGTGAAACTAGCAAACATTCTACAATCTGCTATAACTCTGCTGTTCAGTTTTGTCTTTTTTTTTTTTCCAGTCATATCCAACTCTTCATGTCCCCATTTGGGGTTTTCTTGGCAGAGACACTGGAGTGGTTTGCCATTTCCCTCTCTAGCTCACTTTACAGATGAGGAAACCAAGGCAAACAGGATTAAGTGACTTGCCCAGGATTACACAGCTAGTAGGCATTTGAGGCCAAATTTGAATTTAGGAAGATGAGTCTTCCTGACTCCAGGCCATTCACTGCAACACCTAGCTGGCCCTGTTATCCCTCTAGTTGGGTGGAAAATAGAAAAGTGACTCTTCAGGTATTTGAGGATATATTTAAAAGAAAAATTTTAATTCTGTCAGGATTGTTAGAATAGGATGAATTTAAATCTGGCATACAAACTGATGTAAGCAAATGTAAGCAAAGAATCAGTTCTCTAACTGGAGGAAGTTACTTTGTTCAAACAGCAACCATACTTACTGGATGCTGAGGGAAAAGGTTTTTAATGTGGGTATTAACTCCTGATTCATACTGACACATTCTTCTCTTTGCTTTTAAAATTTAAAAGAAAACCTTTTTTTCTCTAGTCCCACTCCCCATCATCCTGCTTTCATTACTGGATTAGTAAGTATTTAATCTAACAGTCATACATGTTACTGTGACTAAGACCTTGAAGTCAGTGTAAAATCTGTTATATGCCTAGCTTGGTAACCGCATTTGTGGAAATGCCGCTGGGTTATTCTTTTAGCTGTAAAGCATCTTTCTTTACCATCTACCCAATTGCTGCTAATTTGCAACATGGATCTATGTTTCTTAAAACCTAATTATGAGTCCTTGTTTCTTAAACTGAAATATTCTTTTAAAAAAAAAAGACTTGATGGACAAGGTAAATTATACACTGCTGACTCCAGATGGTCAGATAAGAACAAGCCCTAACCCTCAATTTGATTCTTGGGCAGAAAGTCTTGATGTCCAGTTTGTGGACAGTGGTGTAGCCACAACCAAGCACCATTTATACAATGTGGGATGCTCATCTTTTAGTGGTATCCCATTTAATGATAGAATTATATTCTCTTGGTTAGTCTATTGAATCAGTTCATTATGATATAGACATCTTGGATGATCTCAGCAAACGGACAATGAGCTGGTCCTAGAATTGAATGGAGCTGGCAAGATTGCATTTGGAATGCTGCTGCACATTGGCTCCCTGACAACACAAGCCCATTAAAAAAGTTATTGATATTTTTTCTTTTGAAATCCTTCTTATTTTCACTGCATCTCTCCCCAACCCTCACCCCATCACCAGACAGCCATCCCTTATAATACAAAAAATTTTATAGAGGGGAAAAAGCAATTCAACATGTAGAGAAAGTCTAATGTTATGCCATTATGCCACAGCCATGGTTCCCTACCCTTGCAAAGTGATATCTTCTTATATGCTAATAAAATGAATGAATAATTATAACAACTAGTATGTCTATAGCTATTTAAAGTTTACACAGTTCTTTACAAATATCTGATTTGGTCCTCACAACAACCTTGAGAAGTAGATGTTATTATTATCTCCATTTTACAGATGAGAAAACTGAGACTGAGATAGGTTATGTGATTCATCCAGGGTCAAACAGCTATTAAATGTCTAAGGTCAGGTTGCAACTCAGGTCTTCCTGACTCCAGGTCCAGTACTCTATCCATTGTGCAACCTAGCTGCTTCTGTATCTTTTTGGGGGCCAATCTTAATTATTATGAATTCATTAGCATTAAGTTTCAATTAATTTGTTATTGGTTTTTCCACTTGTATGATTTCCATTGTGTAAATTATTTTCCTGGTTCTGCTTATTTCACTTTGCATTAGTTCATATCAGTCTTCTTATGGTTCTGTGTATTCCTCATATTCATCCTTTCTTAACAGAATGTTAATATTCCATCACGTTCAGGCACCACAATTTGTTTTAGCCATTTCCCAGCGAAAATCCCTTCCTTTTAATGCCAACATTCTGATGATACTATCTAGCTAAAAATCATGGAACGTCATCATATAAGAAGAAGCAAATTGACCAGCTCCTGAAAAGGCAATGGAAATGTGTGAGACAGGCATGTTAACAGGTCAGCACATCATTGGCTAAACTTTGCACCCTTGTTGTAAAAAACATAAAAGCGTAGAGAGACCATCAGTGACCTGAGAGACATCAGTGACCTGTGAGGCCATCATTTTCCAGCTGAGGAAATCAAAGCCCAGTAAAGCTAAATGATTTGCCTAGGGTTAGAGAAGTGTTGAGAATTTAGAATATGTATGGTTGGAAAAGGAAGGAGGCCAATTGTAGCAAAAATGAAGACTAACCAACGGACCAATTGAATATTGCACTGATATTTCTAGAATACTAAAAAGGCTGATGGAAGGCTTATTGCACATTGGGTATGTCTTTCATGGAGGATTCACAAAAACACATGGGAAGGAGAGCATGGTATGAGATGATGTGGATGGGTAACTTGTGGCCTCTACCAATGGAGAAAGGTCTCAGATCCATGAGATTATGGATCCACTAGACTAGGTCTTGTGGTAAAATATTAAGGTGTTTTTTTTTAATCCAGAAAAATACTAATATAACATAAAGAATATTGATAAGTGAGTAGACAGAGTGAAAGGCACATTGTATGACTTTGCTTGGAAAAATAATGGTAAATCCAATAATTCATATTTGCTTAGTTAGGCAGCAAAATTGAAACAAAGTTTAATTACCTGTCCCCAAATGAGAAAAAAAAATATTGCAGGAGGGGGCAGGGCAGAAACATAATGAGGATAATTTTAACATTCTCTAACCTGAAAAAGATCATCGCTTATCCAGCGCTCTCTATTTGTGCCTGCAGTATGCTATCCATATAAATGTCTTGTCAAATCAAAGTCCAATGCTTTTTTGACATTTGAAGACTTAACATTCAGAATTGTAAAATTAGTCAATTGATTTTTAGAATGAGAATATCTTGAAACAAAATGCCAAAAGGGTACTTTTAAAAGTGTTTGTTGGTTGAAATATGACTTGTGAGGTTTTCATATTAATGGCTTTTTGAATTGCCATCAGTAGGAAACCATACTGGAAATTCCAAAAAACTTCAAATCAGTTTTTAGCCCTGCACAATGCCTTGAAGTTGTAACTTTAACTCCAAGAATATAAAAATTAACAAGTGAAAATATCATGCATACTAATTACCTTTAATTTCTATAATTTTTATTATAAGTTTCATGTAATATTACATGCCTGTGTTTAAATTTAATTTTTTTTGTGGATTTCTATTTTTCTAGATAAAAAAGAATGAAAAATTCAAATTTCAAATTAATCCATTTAGTAAAATGATATATCATAATATATCATTTTAGTGATCTGCCATAGATAATTATTTTCTTTTAAAATGTTTTATTTTTCAGGTAACAAGTTTTTTTTTTTAATTAATCTGTTCATTCTACCACCTTCTTCTCCCATTGGGCAAATTTTTTAACACCTTAAAACCAAATGCTTCCATACATATCTACAGAGGAAAAAAAAACCAGTAAAACAAATCCCCACATCAGCCATGACTGAAAATGTATGTTTCCAGATTTTAAGTTGTTCACTCGTCTATCGGGAGGTTGAATGGCATGTTTTATCTTTGTTCTTTTAGACTGTTAGTTTATCTTTGAAATTATCCAAATTCTAAAGTCTTTCAAAGTTATTTTTCTCACTACAGAGAATTTAGATATTTTACTGGTCTCTAGTGTAGCTTAAGAAGCCAATGAAGACACTGAGAAGCAGGTAGATGAAATTACTCGCCAGTCTGAGGCAAAGCTGGGATTCATATCCAGGTCTTTGACTCCTAAGGCAGTACTCTTTCCACTGTAACATGGTGCATTGTTATTGTTTTCAAAGATGACAGAGTGCCTGCTAACTATGTGATCTTTCTTCTAGCATTGCCAATCCCTCCTATCCATTCTCTGCACTATAGATTCTATAATATTAAAGAATTAAAATTTCTTGGTAATAAGTTGCCTTCTTTTGGAAAAAAACACGAAACACAATAATCTCTAACCAATGGTACTTAAAGTAACCAATCCAGTTAGCTCTATTCTATATACCTAATGTGCTGAGTTGGGTTGGGGAGAAACTTTGTCACTAAAAATACAACTACCTGCCTCTGTGCATGGTGACAATACCTAAGGCATGTTTGATTTGCTGAGTTAGTAAGTGAGAAATTATGTCTTAGCTTAAAACAGGAAGTGTTTTTTTTCCCTTGAAAAATATAATCCATATGGCTAAATTGGTATACCTCCAGTATGCTGATGTTTCCCTTGGAGAAAATGCCATAGGCCCTTTTAAAGGAACATAAATAAGCAAAATTTTCATTTTCCCAGGTGCTCTGAAAGGTACTGCTTGAGGGATAGCACTAAACATCTGACTCTGGAAACTGAACTAAGATTACCTTGGAGCAAAAAGGGCTAAGAAAGAAAGAAAAAAAGAAGACAGAAAAGTCATCCACAGTGATACATAGTACTTCATGGAATGAGGGTTTGTTTGGTTTTTTTGTTTGTTTGTTTGTTTTTTTGCAAGTGGAAACTTCCGTCACTTCAAGGGTAGACAAAATAATGATTAGGAGGGAACGACCATTCATTTTTCCTTTGTGGTAAGCATTCAGGAAACAGGTATTTGGCATATTTGGTAAAAGGCACTGTGGTCTCTAAGAGGAAAAGAGAGGTTCTCTCCTTTGGCCCCTCTAAGGAGGAGCTGCTGTTATACAGATGTTACCTGCATGACCTCAGTACCAGGCATCCTCTTTGCCTAGAGATTAAGCAAACTAAATTCAGATGCTAGCTTAGAACAACAGGTGAGGAAACCTAACCTCATTGAAAAGTACACTGCCAACATTGGTTATTGTTCAATTACGTCTGACTCTTCAAGACCCCATGTGGGGTTTTCTTGGCAAAGACACTTGGAATGGCTTGCCATTTCCTTCTCCAGCTCATTTTACAGATGAGGAAACTGAGGCAAGCAGCGTTAAGTAACTTGCCCAGGCTCATACAGCTAGTAAGTATCTGAGACCAGACTTGAACTCAGGAAGATGAGTCTTCCTGACTCCAGGCCTGGCGCCCTATCCACTGTGCCACCTAGCTGTCCTACAGTCAACCTTAGCAAGTGACTAGTGGATGTCTCCGGCAAATCGCCCAAGACAGATCCAGCTGAATTAGGGATGAAAGTAGGAATCCCATGTATCCAGTAACCTTCAAAATAGGTAGTAAAGTCAGAATCTATAGAGAATGATTCCCTAAATGAGGAAGGCATTTCTACAGTAGTTCTTAAAAGATTCTTCCTCTATAGGTCAAGGACCAGATAGGACTCACAGGAACCAGGAATAATAGCACAGGGGAAATACACCCTAAGGCCAGATGGGATGATCTGGGGAGCCCAAAATAAACTCTTCAGTTAAAGGCCAGGGAATAGTTACTGGAAAGGATTATGGCTCATACTAGAGGTAAAGGCATTTTTTCTCATGCTATAGAATAGCACTAGGATTAGCCAGCAATAAAGTGAAGGAAAGGAACGGGACTAGGCACCCTTTAAGCCATTACCAACCTTGGCAAGATGTTTGGCAAAGTTAGAATCAGAAGTGTGTGTGTGTGTGTGTGTGTGTGTGTGTGTGTGTGTGTGTGTGTCCACACATATATATGGGGGGACGACAGACCAACCTTGCATTTGCTGTTAAGGATTTTGCAGCAACTGAGAATAGAGAAGGGATCACTAAAATGAAACTATCTCCCTCTTTATGGTAATCTCTGATGTTTGATTTGCTCCCAGAAAGGTGTGGTGGTGGCAGTGAACTTGACTTCACCCAGGAGAAGCCAGTGGAGCTGGCGCTATTTGCTATCTGAGTGTGAACCTGGGAAAGAATGTGAGTCTAGACGCAGGACTTCCGGGGCCACTCTCTAACCATTAAATCAAAACAAAAAACACCCATCAACAACAATGTAATGTCTGTAGGAACAGGTGGACTAAAGGGTTAAATAGAATTATAATTAATTGAACCCTTGAAAGGCAAGATGAAAAAGTGGACCTTTGGTGACTGCAGGTAGGGCAAATTAATTTCTTAGAATAGGAGTTGACCAAAGGTGAATGAGAGTTAAATATTAAGCCACAAAAGACTTCAAAACTCACCCTATAAGGCTGCTTTGTATGATTTGCAATACCTGAGCAGCTTGAGCCATAGGTATGGTAGCAATAATTTGTAAATGTTCCTTGAAAACCTTATCTGAGGTTGGATTACCACTTGTCAGCCAACTGATAAATAACCTATTACAAAAGGGATTCTTGGTTAAGTATTGGTCAGAATTAATGACCTCTAAGGTACCTCCAACTCAGATCCTGTGATGCTGTAAAACAGCAATGAAAAGCAGATTAAAAATTTTTTTAAATAACTATACAATGTAATTATACCCAGGATCAAGAAATGAAGTTTTAGGTTGACACAGACCCTATTCAGTCGAGGAGGGGTGGGGAGGAATGGAAAATTCCCATAATGTTTCTTCAGCTTATTTTTTCCCATCTAAAGTTGCTCTTGAGATCATCAGAATACAAACTTGTGTCTTGTTCTCTATACCAAAAGTCAAAGGACCCTGAGCTCCCATTCAGGTGCTCATGATAATACACCATTAGAGATAGGAAGATTTTATTTAACTTAAATAAATGCAAAGGCTTGGCACACAAACCCACAAAAAAGTCAAGACCACTCTTCTTCCTTCTCCAGTGAACACCATCTATCCAAGATCTTACACAGTTTTCCAGATTTGTAGTCTTACTGTGGGTACAGAATCAGCACTCCAAACCCCAGAGAAAAACCTTAAGGGTTACGAACAATCAACCAAACCACCTCTGTAATAATCCCTACCTCCCAGGGCCCTTTGCAGTCCTTTAGAGGTAGAGGTAAAGTTAAACAAATTCTCAGGGTAACTAGGGAGACAACCCCCTTCCCCAGAACCTGCACAGTTCACATAACTCATCACTTAGGCTTTCTCTTCCACATTATGACTCTGTCCCTTGATGGTCCTCTGCTCTGGCTGCTGCTTTATCCAGGAACTCCTTTGATTGGTCCAAGAATTCCTCCACTGAGTCCTCTACATCTGCTGCTGGTTTTCTGGAGCACATTGTTCTTTTTTAATTTCTTTTTTTTAAATAATTTATTTTTTTCCCTCAATTACATGTAAAGACAATTTTTAATATTCATTAAAAAAATTTGAGTTCCAATTTTTTCCCCTCACCTCTCCCTTCCCTGAGACATTAGGCAATTTGACATAGGCTATACATGTGTAATCATGTAAAACATATTTCCGTATTAGTCATGTTGGAGCACATTATTGTTGAAGGGAATTTTTCCCAGCTACTAATCCCTCCAGGCAACCAAGTCCATCTGTGTCCAATTGCCTAAGCTCCCAGCTCTCTTGCTCTCTCTCTCTCTCTCTCTCTCTCTCTCTCTCTCTCTCTCTCTCTCTCTCTCTCTGTGTTTCTGTATCTTTGTCTATGTTTCTCTCTCTGACTCTGACTCTCTGTTTCTGTCTTTTTCTCCTTCAATTTTCCTGGGAATTAATGGAAGCCATAAGGCAAAGATTAGGAGTTTGAACATTCCAGGTATGAGGGACAACCAATAAAAATTCCAGGAGTCAAGAGATAGTGTCTTGTTTGATAAATAATAAGGAGGACAGTGGAGGGTATAAGATTGGAAAGGGTTATGTGTGGGGGTTAGGGGATGGATTGTATTAAAGGCTTTGAATACCAAACAGAGGATTTCTATATTTAATGCTGGAAATCACAGGGAGCTACTGTAGTTTACTGAGTGGGGGAAGGAAGAATGGTGACATGGTATTAGACTTGTGCTTCTGTAAAATCCCTTTGACATCGGAGTGAAGGATGGACCAGAGTAGGGGAACGCTTGTGGCAGGGCCCATCAAGCTACTTGCAATAATCTAGGCATGAGGTGAAGCAGGTGATGGCAGTGTCAGAGAAGAGAAGGAGGCATATAAGAGAGATGTTATTAAGGTAAAATCAACTGGCCTTGGTAATAACTAGGTTATGAGTATGGGTGACTAGGGGAATTTATTACCGTTGAGGCACCACTATTCAAGCCCTCATTTGTAGCTGCCAACTTTTGAGGTATAAATGCTCATAATAAAAATTTAACAATGCCTCTACTGATCCAGTAAGAGCTGACTCTAGTATGCCCTAGCCTGTGGGTAAATAACTCTTCCTCTCCAAAACTCAGTTTCCTCTGTACCATAAAGGGTTTGGGCTAGATGGACTCTGAGGTCCTACCCAGCTCTAAAATTCTACAAAATTGTAAGCTCCTTGAGGGCGGTGACTATATTTTGCCTCTTTGTAGCCCCAGAACTTATCACAATGCCTGGCATACAGTAGGCATTTGATAAATTTTTATTGATTGTTTGAATATTGCTTGGGAGGCAGGGGAGGGGGGAGTTGATAAGTGAATTTGACATCCTTCCAATTTCTTGCAGCCTTCCTATGATCACCCTCCCTCTCAGTTACAGTCTGTCACTATCCTAAGGTCCAATGCAACTCTGAATCTATAATTCCAGGGCTTTCCTTGTCTTCTTATTCCTCCAACATGGTGCAGTGCAAAAAGTACTAGATTTGGAATCAGAGAATCAGGGTTTAAATCCCATCTTTTGACACTGGGCAAGTCACAACGTCTCTAGATCTTGCCGCCTTTGTAAAATGAAGGGGTTGGAAGAGTTGACCTGTAAGGTCTCTTCTAGCCCTAACTCTAAATTTCCTCTTCCTCTTCTGCCTTATTTATTAAATACAGAAATATGGTCACTTTATAGGTGTCAAGGTAGGACTGGATCTGTGGAACTAGAAAATAGAAAATGTTACTTGGCAAAATTCAATCAGCAAACAGGCTATAGATATGTCTGCTATATTGTCTAAACCCCAAATCAGGACATCGTCTGACAAAGGATGTTCCTTTGCAAAGTGTTATTAAGAACACAATTTCTTTTCCTGAAATTTCCCGGCAAACTGGATATGTATGACTACTATATACACAATTCTGTACCACTTTTCCTCTTTCGCCTAAAAGGTTCTTCAGGTCTGCATAAGGATTGCTGATTTATTATAATGAGTCTTTTAACAGCATGCACCCCTCACAATAATTCTGTGTTTATTCAGGGATCAGAGGCCTAGAACAGATGTATCAAACACACAGTTGGCTGAGCAATCTGAAGTGCCCAGGGACCAGGTCAAAATGTAATTGGAAAAATTTTCATAAAATTAGTAAAAACATAAAAAAACATAGATAATGTTAATGCCTGGTTTTCTAAGTTAATATGCAGCCTGTAGGGATCCTTTTTAT